TATAATAACCATCTTACAGGGCATTGCAAATGGGAAGTAGCCAACCTTGCTTCTGGGGACAGTCAGCGGTTGTAGTGACACCCCCTCCTCCACAGAAAATCTTAACTAAGCTTCTCCAGAAATCTTCACCATAATTGATTTTAGGACTATAAGCAAAAGAGTCTCTACAAAAGAGTTCAATGCAGGTAAATTTCCTATTTTCCTGTTGCTCTATCTTACTTGGCCACTGGCCTGGAAGAAATCAGTATTCCAGGTGCTTATCGCCCCTTTACTAGTTTTTCACAAACATTTATCCATTAGCATGGTAGTTTGTAGAAGTGTGTTTGCAAATGCAAAATGTTTAAAAAAAAAAAAAGATCCTTTAACAAGGCCTCTGGCCTTGAGCTGGGGCTTCACAGAGATGTTTACATTTCTAAGAGGTTACCAGTTGGGCTCCTTGGTGACAGTTGGCAGGGGGAGGAAAGAAAGGGGAGAAGATGCTCTCCCCTTTTCAGGTACTGTTCTTGGGTTCATTTGCCTAGAACAGTGAAAGAAAAAGCTGCTTTTGTGTGAACTTCTGCAGACTGTGAATTTCTGAGCCCCTGCCCTCACATGCTGGGTATGAAGTTCGGAAACGACCTGAACTCGGGGTTCAGGGGGATTGACTGATTATAATGAAAGCTTTGCCCTTTGAACCTGGCTATAGCTAAATAAACCTGCTTCCTGTTCCTATTTGGTGTCTTGCCTCGTCTGTCCCCTGCAACAAGGTTACAGTGACTGGGTGGTTGAGGACAAATTCACAGGAGAGAAGTCTGAGCTTTAAAGGAAAGGTAGGGTTCTGACAGGTGCTTAGAGGAATGTCCCAGGCAGAGGGACCCACATGAGCAAAGGCAAAAGGTACAGAGGTCAAAATGAAGACAGGCAGGTTTAGGAATAGGGGCAGGACCTGCCTGAAGGGAGCAGGAGTATGTGTTGGGAGAGTGGTTGGATGGGTGGATTAGGAGCACATAATGGAGGGTATTGGTGCTGATCCTGCCGAACCCAGTGTTTGTCAACCTCAGCACTGTTAATGTTTTGGACCAGATTGTCTGTGTGTGTGTGTTTCATTTTGTTTTTGTTTTTTTGGGTTTGTTTGTTTGTTTGTTTTGGTACTGGGGAATTAACCCATAGGTACTTCACCACTGAACTACAACCCCAGCTCTTTTACTCTTTTTTATTTTGAGACACATTCTCATGAAGTTGCTTAAGGCCTCACTAAATGGCTGAGGCTGCCCTCCAACTTGCGATCCTCTTGCTTCAGCCTCCCCATCACTAGGATTATTATAGGCATCTGCCACTGCACCAGACTCAGACTGTCTTTTTGTGTGTGAGGTGGGGTGGTGTAGGGAGGAAAAAGGAACCTCTTGTACATTGTTAGTAGAATCCCTGTTTTCTACCTGCCTGACACCATTGGTACCCTTGCCCCTAGTTATGTGCATTCCTCCAGTTGTGACACAAAACAAAATGTCTTCAGACATTGCCAAATGTCCCCTAGGAGGAAAAATCACTCACTGGGTTGAGAACCACTGGTTTAAGGGATTGTTGTGGATGTGACCTGTGTGTGATTTTCCTGGGGTCCGCAGGTCTATTGTGAACTGACTTTGTTTTTCCACACTCCATCAGGACTTCCATGAGACTGGCCCTATGACAACAACTTGCAGACCATAGAGAAACCAAACTCCTACTGAACCTCCAGGCCCAGTTTTGGGTGGTGTCCTTATTCACGGCCCAGAGGCTTCAATGCCACTGGGGCAGGGTTGGGAAGAGAACCACAGGTCAACTATAGCAAGCCAAAAACTAATAGGGTGGGCTAGCCTCTTAGTGGAGATAAACCCCTAAAACAAATATATAAACAAAAATACATAAAAAAAACTCTGAAGCAATTTAATATGAACATTAAGAATGATAGGAAGCTGGGCAGAATGGCACACACTTGTAAACTCAGTGGCTCAGGAGGCTGAGGCAGGAGGATCAAGAGTTTAAAGCCAGACTCAGCGAGGCGCTAAGCAGCTCAGTGAGACCCTGTCTCTAAATAAAATACAAAATAGGGCTGGGGATGTGGCTCAGTGGTTGAGTGCCCCTGAGTTCAATCCCAGGAACTGCCCTCCCAAAAAAGGAATGATGGGAATCCGGGCATGGTGGCAACACATCTGTAATCCCAGCAATTGAGGAGGCTGAAGCAGGAGGGCTGCAAATTCAAGGGTGGCCTCAGCAACTTAGTGAGACCCTGTCTCAAAATATAAAATAAAAAGGACTGGGTATGTAGCTCAGTAGTAAAGTACACTATGTTCCATCTCTAGTCCTCCAAACAAACAAACAAACATAAAAGCATGAGGGGAAAATGTTCTCTTTCCTTCTGAACATCAAGCCCATTAGCAATAAAATGACTCATTGTGATTGTCGCTGTGATAGGCAGGGAAATGCTGTCAATTAGTCCTGGCATCAACCAGCTAGAGCCCCAGCTTAAGGCCAACTGAGATGTCCAGAGGATTATTTGCTTTCCCTCTGTACCAGGCAGGTTGTTGATAGAGGAACTCTGTGAAAATGTTTACCATTATTCTGTGTTTTCCTAATTAGAGTTTCTGGAAACATGACGTCTTCTCAGGACCTTGATATGAGAAATAGAATGTCAAGGGCTGTGGCAGGACAGAGCTGTGTGCACCTCTGTGGCCTCCCCTCCCTGCAGGCCTTTCAGCAACCTGTTCTGTTCCAACTTTATGTAGAAGGAGAAGTTTGTGAAATACCCCCATGGTGCAACCTGGGAATCTTTTTAAGATTTCCTATTACTAAGCCGGGCCTTACTTACTAAGGTGGCACTATAATCCCAGAGACGCAGGAAGCTAAGGCAGGAGGATTGCAAGTTTGAGGCCAACCCAGCCAATTTAGCTATAAGACGTTGTCTCAAAATTTAAAATAAATAAATAAATAAACAGGGCTGGGGGTAGAGCATAGTGGTAGAGCATCTCTGGGTTCAATCCCTAGTACTAAATTAAAAAATAAATTCTTATTAGGATGTTTGAAAGTCTACATCTCCATGATCATTATCATAGCTAGTATTTATAGAATATTTTCTACCTTTAGAGTTGTGACCAGACCCACAGCAGGTGAGGAAGCTGAGGTCTACTGATGGTAGGATTTACCAATGGTAAGTTGTTCATACAGACCGACTTTGGTCTGTATGCCTGGGGAGTCCCCTTAACTTACACATGACCTCAGTATTCAGCAGTCAGGCTGATGAAGCCTCCCTAGCCTTCACAAAACCTACCTCTGTCCATGAAGATTTATTTTAACCAGGCGTGGTGGCGCATGCCTGTAATCCCAGCAGTTTGAGAGGCTTAGGCAGGAGGATTGAGAGTTCAAAGCCAGCCTCAGTCTCTAAATAAAATACAAAATAGGGCTGGGGATGTGGCTTAGAGGTTGAGTGCCCCTGAATTCAATCCCCAGTACCAAAAAAAAAAAAAAAAAAAAAAAAGTTTTGTTTTATTAAACCTGGGGACTTTGGTCTGAGTCCCCTCCCTGGCCTCCATCTATTAGCAACTGAAAATTCACTACCGTCTCCCTCTTGTTCCAAAAAGCACTGTACTTTTTTCTCTCCCTGCAATCCTTAGTGGTGGTACTGGGGATTAAACCCAAAGGTTTTCTACCACTAGGCTACCTCTCCAGCCATTTTTATTTTTTATTTTGAGGCAGGATCTCACTAAGGTGCTGAGGTTGGCCTCAAACATGCAATCCCTTTGCCTTAGCCTCCCAAGTCACTTGGATTACAGGCCTGTGTCAACACACTGGGCTTTCACTTTTCTATAAGGAAAAAAAAAGTTTTCTTCTGGTTATTCACTGTAGAAAATTAGGAAAATCCTAAAATGTGCAGGAGGGAAATAAAATCATCCCTAAATACAAAACCTTGAGAAAATTTCTGTAAATAGTTTGACTATCTCCTTCATGTGCAATGTGGTTTTCAGAGGCCTGCTTTTCCCAGCCCCTCAACCAGCTCCTGACTCTTAGGTATTGGGAGTGTTCACAGAAAAGCCCAACCAAGGAGCCACTGAGCACTCCAGACCTTCTGCCTTTACTTTCCTGAGGTTTTCCCTCCAAAGGGACCATCATAACAGTATATACTATCATCCTATACCCTCAACTGAAAGTCAGAATTTTGGAGCCAAATTGTGGAGAAATTTGGAGAACTGATAACAACAATTGAAATTCCATTTCCTCACTGAACTTCTTATCCTAAGCACAATGAGATTTGGTTTGCATCTGAGCCTGGCTCCATTAGAAAGAAGACACATCACCCAAACTAGTAGGAGTATAGAGTCACAGCCCTGGTAACTATCTAGGTCATACACCACCCAGCCTAGATCTCTAGATGCTGTCCAAAAAAATGTAATGTGAGCCACATAGATAATTTTTAATTTTCTAGTAGCCATATACAAAAGGAAAAAAAAAAGAACAAGTAAAATGACGCTTCATAACATTTTATTTAGCCCAAATATCCAAAACATTTTATCAGCATATAATCAATATTTAAAATATTAATGAGATGATGTATATTCTTTTTTTAAGTGATAGGTCTTTGAAATGTGGTGTGTATTTTACCCTCACAGCATTTCTCAGCTTGGAGCGACCACAGAACAAGTGCTTCATAACCAAAAGTGTTAGTGGCTACCATATTGGACAGTGCAGTTCCAGACCAGTTTTAGCTCCATTTGGTATCCCACAGCAGCCTCTCCAAACACATCCCCATTCTCAGGACATTTCACAGCTGGTCTTAAGTGCCCCAAATGTGGAAAAAATGGAGAAAGGATTATGTTGCATGCTGGGCAGACCCTTCCCCCAGCATACCAGTTCCCAAGAAGCCAAAGCTGATGGAGGCTCTGTGGATCCGCTGATGGTGGTGGCTTCTCAATATTCAAGCACAGATGACCCTAGGAGAGACAAGAGAAGTGAACCCCACTTCAAAACCCTTCCATTGTATATGTATATGCATATACAAGAATGCTGGTACTCAAAAGTCAGCCACCTAGTATCAAACTTCATTTCCCACAGTTCTCAGAATAACCAGGTCAGATGGTGTTAATTTCAAATATACCTTATTTACTTTCCCCTTTAGTTTGAAAGCACCTGAAAGGCAGAGGTCAAAGTCTTACTCTGTTCCAAGTACCTTCAGGATCACCCTGAAAATGATTCCATTTTATAGGTGAGAAAACAAAGAACAAGAGTGCAAAGTAGCCCAAGTCGCTCAGCTAAGCCCTGGGGCTTCAAGCCTCTCCCCTTTATCCATGTCCTCCCCTGACTTGCCCTTCATTCTCTAATGCGTACTGTGAACTTCTTGGACATAAATACACACTTAATTGTTTGACAATTACTTGGGAGTTTTCCCAGAGCTCTAAACAGAGTGTTAGGTGATTTACTAGTCATTTAAAAATCAATGTCCTGAGCCTGTACCACCCGTACCACCACTGAGGACCTGGACCATTTCTGCAGGCCCAGGTGTGGCTCATTCCTGGGAATCCCACCCCTCCTGCATACAGCTCAGCTCAGGGGAGGCACCCCATCCATGCTGCTCTTCCACAAGACCAGCTTTCTTCTGTCTTATTGTACAGTTTGTGCACAGAAGACAAGAGTCTAGATAGCAGAATCAAAGTCCGTCAGGACACAAGGGAATCCTCCCTCATTTCTATCAATGCTATCAGCTTATTTGGGGCTCTTATCTCGAAGGAGGCAATTTAATCCTCCCTCATGGAATCCAAAAGTCACATACCAATTCCCCAAGGAGCTGAGGCAATAAGAAAAGAGCAAAGTTTAGTATTACTCCTTGATAAGAGTCTTGTTTAAACATGATCACATATAAAAGCCCATCTGATGCCCACACCCTTCTCCCCTCAGCAACCCTCTCTCCTTTCTTCTTCTCTTGTTTGTAAGATAGCTCGATTGTGCAATCTGCCGGGCTCCTGGTTAGACCTAATGAAATTGCTTTCAAGCCTACAGAGGTTTCCCAGGATCCTTTGTTAGTCCCTCATTCCTGTACCTGGGGCTCCCCTGGGGATGGTGGCAGGTCTGCTTCTGGGCACTTCCCAGTGGCACAGGCTTGTTTACATTTTGAAATTAGAGCAAAGTTCAACTTTGTGGTTGGCTTCAGCACCCTAGGAGATGCGGGACCCTGGTAAAAAAAAAAAAAAAAAAAAAGCAAACAATAGTGACCTGGGAAAAGTTCCCTCCCCAAACAGCACCACCCGGCAACATTTTGGCAACAGTTTTCTTTATGGCCAGTCTCTGGCTCCTGTACAGTGGAAACACCCAGGAATGGAAACAGCAAAGAGAAAAGGCCACTTGTGCCACT